CTTGACTACAACTGCCATGGATCGGTTCTCAAGGAAGCTAAAAATTAGAGAACAAAGTAGGGGAGAGAAACCATAGGAGGTAAGTTTAGAAAGCAAAGACTTGAGCCATACCCTGTCAAATGCTTTCTAGATGTCGAGGGCCATGGTGAAAGTTTCCCCATAATCCCTAAGAGAGGATGACCAAAGATGGGTGCAGTAGGAGAACAGATCACACCAGTAGATCTCGCCGAGCGAAAGCCATACGGGTGATCCGATAAAAGAGAAAAACGTTCAAGGTGACGGAGAAAATGAGGGTTCAAGATAGTTTAAAAAATCTTAGAGAGGGATGAAGTTAGGGCAATGGGGCGATAGTTAGAGGGATTGGAATGGTCATCCTTCTTCGGGATGGGCTGAACCAAGGCATGCTTCCAAGAAGAAGGAAAAGTTTGGGTTTTGAGGCAAAGGCAAAAGAGGCGAGCAAGCACAGGGGCTAGAACTTCAGCACACTCACTCAGAACACGAGGGGGAATTCCGTCCTGTCCATGTGCCTTTCTCATATCCAACCTGGATAACACACCAGCAGATTATAGGAAAGTGCATAGGTTCAGTAGGAAGAGCAGAAGGGGGAGGGATAGCGTTGGAATCGTCTAAGGTGGAGTTAGAGGAGAACAAGGTGCCAAAGAGATTGGCTTTATCAGGGGGAGAGTTGGCTATAGAGTTATCAGGTTGGAAGAGAGGAGGAAAAGAAGGAGTGCAGAAGTTGTTACAGATATTTTTGGTTAAGGACCAGAAGGATTTACTAGAAGAAGAATTAGTCAGGACAGCGGTCTTTCTTTTTATAAAATTCCGCTTGGCCCTACGAAGAGTAGCCTTACAACGATTCCTAGAAGTAATGAAAGAGGAGTGGGTAGTAGGAGATAGTGTCATTGCTTGATATGCCCTAACGCTCTCCCTACATGCAAGAGAACAGAGTTCAAACCATGATTGTAGAGTGAAAGTTTTGGATGGAGCTGGGATAAATGCACTCATACCACCCTGTATAACCCCAGCAATGCTGTCAACAAATACCGAGGCGCCCTGAGTGGAAAAGCAACATTCATCCCAAGGAAAGTCGGTGAAGAATTCTCGCACGGATTGACAGTTTGCCCTCTGATAGTGCCATAGTTTAGTGGGGGCTGAGGGAGGTGGTGTGCCCAGTTTCATTTAATAGAAATAAGATTGTGACTGAAGTACCCTAAAGTAGAAATTGAGTATGAATAGTGTGAGTGGTTAGAGGTAAAACAAAGATCAAGAATGTTAGTAAGTTGATTGTGTCGATCAGGAACGTGTGTAGGGTGTTTAATTATTTGTTCCAGATCATTAATTAAGGAAAAAGAGAGTGCCTCAGCTCCATCTGGGTCATACCTTGCAAAGCCACGTTACTCTATGAGAAGTATACTGAAATCCCCTAGGTAGAGAATCTTGGTGTTGTGGTGTGTCGATAGCAACTACTCATGGCAAGAAGTGAGATAGTCAAAGAGTTCTAAATAGTTGGTAGAGTTGAGAGAACAGTATAGGAAACAAAGGAAAAGAGTCATAGTTGGCAGAGATATTTTGAGCCAGATGACATCATAAAGGGAAGATTCAAGTGAGTCGAGCTATAGGTGTACGTGTGTTGCAGTAGGCGCATACACCTCCCTTAGAACGGAAAGAGGTATAAAGGTTGTAGTTAGAGACTTGAAAAGGTTTGGGTGAAGCTGCTTTGGTCAGTTGAAGTTCAGATAGTAGTAAGACGTCGGGGGAAGAGGTTAATACAGGTTGTACCTCTTTAGTCCGGCATTCTGTGGTCTGGAAACTCCCGTTGTCCGGAACGATTTTAGTTTGCCCATGGAGAAAATTAATTTGAGTGGTACTTTCGATGTTTGGCTAAATTTTGCCTTATTTACCCTACTTTTGGGGCGAATTAGTACCTGTAATAAAGCAACATCCTAATAAATCAACGAAAATAACACAGATAAAGTTAAATAAAAACTAAAAACAACAAAGAAAAAGTTTTTATGTTCTACAGTTTCAGCTAGAGTTGAACCTGATGACTTGGCAACTTTGTCATCCGAGTAAAAACACACACAACAACATTGGCTGTCCTTTGTTTTCAACTTTACCACCACTGGTGGGTAGAATTTTTATTTTAAATTCAGAAACATGAATTAAAATATATATGAGCAGTAAATAAGTGTTGCTTTCATATTCTTATGTAGAGTAATGACGAGATGTTTTCACATGTGCTCACTTAGATACGCGCAGTCTCACGTTTTCTTTCTTTAACATTAATGGTTTGCTACTTTCATTGTTCCATTTATTAACATTAAATAACATTACAGGTAGTTCTGCTATAACGCGATAATTGTGTTCTTGTAAAATATCGTGTTATAGAAAATTGCGTAATAGAAATAACAGGGCTTATGGAGAAAATAGGGTTAGGTGCAGATTACTCGAAATCGAAAAAATTTAGTAGTTAGCCTAACACAAAGGATACCACAGTCTAAATAAATGTTACATTCATATCTAATAATGAAATCATACAGTAAATGTAACACTACCTTGAAAAAATATGAATGTAACTTGATGGGGGGAGAAGGGTGATTTTGAGGTTGATAACATCGAGCTTCTCTTTAAGTGTTATATCCTTTCTTTTACGATCATCACCTGGAATTCTATCACCAGAACGCTTCTTGGAGATATTCTTCTTTACCATATTCACAATTAATACCACAAAATTGGAGAAATAGTAAGCAAAAATCGCGTTATAGCAAACAAGCGTTCGCGTTATACAAATATCGTTCCTAATTCATAAATCGCGTTAAAGCAAATTCGCGTTATCAAAACACGCGTTATAGCAGAACTCACTGTACTTAAAACTACCATATTAATTTTTTTACATTAATTTTACTACAGCTACAACCAGGTTCTTATTTTCTTCAGTTTTATATGTAGAACCAGTCAGTCACTGGTTTTGTAAACATTAACGAAAACAATGCCGTCTCGTCTCCTCGTGTGTTTTAATATTCTATGTATTATTAATGAAGTGTATTGTTCATTTTGCACACATAAACATTAATTCAATCAAAAAGACTTTCAGTACTAAACAATAATGAATCTTTTGTACACAAGAGAAATGACGCTGTTTACACGATTTGTGCATGTCTGAATGTTGGCGAGCCGCTCAAACCCTTCAAAATTTGAGTTTCCGCCGTAGAAATTTTAAATTGTGTAATGTTTTTTCTTGTGTCCAAATAAAAAATGACAAATTAAAAACTCGCAAAATTTAAGAACCTACTGTACAACATTTAACCCTTCAATATGTCTTCAAAGAGACCATGAAGCAGTGAAAGTGGTGCTAGTGCTTCCAATCGTAAGCACAAGTCACTATCTATCCAGGAAAAGGGTGAATTTCCATGGTCCGGCACCGGTCAGGTCCTGAGGTTGCCAGACTAGAGAGGTACAACCTGTAGATGGTGCTCTACAGAAGGAAAATTGGATCTCAGGCCACAAATGTTGGAAAAATGAAATGTGAAAAAAGCTGATCCTCCAGCAACCGTGGTGACGTCAGTTGAGGCTCCAATAGTTTGATGATGATCAGGTCGGCCCTGGGGTCCACAACCTTCCCAACCAGTGGGACCCATCCGAGAAGGCCCTGCTTCAATATTACATTGGTCCTTCTGTTAATGAGCGCCTCGGTTAACGAGTTACCTTCCATAAGATTCTTAACTTCGGTTAACGAGCAATCCCTCGATTAACGAGTTTCTTACGAGCCGACCTCAACATGTTTTCACTTGCATTTGGCGGTCCACCAGCTGTAGTATTAGTCTGCCAATACAGTAATCGGTTCTAGGGCTTATATTCCTTACCATTTTAGTAAATATCAAGAAGTTTATACTATTCAATAATTTTAAAAGTTTAATATTAAATTTTTTAGTCAATTTAACAATTATTGAACATAATTGTAGGTAAGGAAGCTAGTTTTATGCATGCCATCCAGCCTGTCAACACACCATACAGGTGCCAGTCTCTCTGTCTTTTCAGTGGAGGTAACATTTTGCTTGAGACTCTCTTCAACTAAATGCTTTTTTTCTGTGTTTGCAAGCAAATTATTGGTCATTTTGAAATTTAGTTTACATATTGACAATATATAATGCAGTGCAGTGTTGATTTAAAGAAAATAATCTTGAATTACACCAAGTGAACTAAAATTTTATGGGTGAAATGGCACCAAGGGGTGACTTCTCTTCCACCCCAATGCCTTCTCTTCTTCTTTCTCCTCCAACCATCATTCTAATTCCCATCATCATCATCATCCAGGAGCCTTCTACATACACACCTCAAAGTAAGTGTACTTTTCTACCTTTTTTGTTGAATTTAGGCAATTTTCGGTGAGCTGGAACCAATTACCCAAAAAAACCATTGAAACAATGGTTTCGGTTAACGATTTTTTCTGTTAACGAGCAACCTTCTAGAACGGATTGTGCTCGTTAACCGAGGGACCACTGTATTGTCAACTGACAATCTGACATCATAAGCAGAATAAAAGAGTAGAAAGAATAGAACAGATCAAGAGTGAGTACAGTTATTTGTCTTGTGTTGTCAATAGTAAGAGAGACAATTGAGACCCTGCAATTGTGTGTAAATGAGGCAGAAAGTCAGATCAGCAACCTGGGACTTGGTCATGATTTTCGTGATGCTATATGGCAGCAGGGTCTACTATTAGACAACACAATATGCTTCCAATATCTTCCCAGGCGGTAGTATCTCCCTGTTTGGTAGCTGCCTACCTACTACTGTACCTGATAGCCAGAATTGAAATTTGCTCGGAAAATCATTACCAAAGCTAGATTTTTCCGGAAAATTCCGGCTTTGGGAATGATTTTCCGAGGGGCATATTTTCCGGAAATTCCAAGAAAATTTTTCCGTTACAGATACCCTGAAAATTAGTTAGTGTTGGATAGTAGACTTGGCTACAGACTCACACTGTGGTTGTATTGCAGGACTGTGGGCGGCAGGAAGTGTGCCCATCTTCCTTATCCTGTGTCTCCTGCTGGCTGCTGGTCTCTGTACTGAGGTCCTTGACGTACATGCTGCCTTGAAAGCATCCAGTAAGTGTTATGTAGTGCAGCACCACCCTGCAGCACAACCTTGCAGCACCACCCAGCAGCACCACACTCATCCTGCAGCACCACACTCATCCTGCAGCACCACACTCATCCTGCAGCACCACCCAGCAGCACCACACTCATCCTGCAGCACCACACTCATCCTGCAGCACCACACTCATCTGCAGCTTTCACACTCGGCCTGCAGCACCACACTCATCCTGCAGCACCACCCCTGCGGCACCACACTCGTCACTGCAGCACCACCTCATCCTGCCCTCAAGCAGCCACCACTCGTCACCTCGTCCTGCAGCCACTCATCACCTGCAGCACCACACTCCCTGCAGCACCACCCTGCAGCACCACCTCATCCTGCACTGCACTCATCCTGCACTGCTTGCATCTTCCTCACACTAACACACTCTTCCTGCTAACACACTCTTCCTGCACTAACACACTCTTCCTGCACTAACACAACACACTCTTCCCCTGTACTAACACACACTAACACCTCTTCCTGCACTAACACACCTCTTCCTGCCTAACACACTCTTCCTGTACTAACACACTCTTCCTGCACTAACACACTCTTCCTGCACTAACACACACTCTTCCTAACACACTCTTCCTGTGCTAACACACAACACACTCTTCCTGCACTAACACACTCTTCCTCACTAACACACTCTTCCTGCACTAACACACTCTTCCTGCATACTAAACACACTCTTCACTCTTCCTGCTAACACCTCTTCCTGCACTAACACTCTTCCTGCACTAACACACTCTTCCTGTTCTTACCTCTTCCTGCCTCTTACTCTTCCTGCACTAACACACTCTTCACACTAACACACTCTTCCTGTACTAACACTCTTCCTGCACTAACACACTCTTCCTGCACTAACACACTCTTCCCTGTACTAACACACTCTTCTGTGCTAACACCTTCCTGCTAACACACTCTTCCCTGCGCCTAACACCTACTAACACACTCTTCACTCTTCATATGCTAACACACTCTTCCTGCTAACACTGCTCTTCATATTGCTAACACTCTTCACTGCACTAACACATCTTCCTGCTAACACACTCTTCCTCTTCTTACACTCGCTTACACTCTTCCTGCACTAACACGCTAACACACTCTTCGCCGCTCTGCACTAAAACACTCTTCCTGCACTGCACTAACACTCTTCCTGTACTAACACACTCTTCCAACTGCTAACACACTCTTCCCTGCTAACACACTCTTTTCTATCTTCATATTGCTAACGCACTCTTCCATAATGCCTGCCTAACACACTCTTCCTGTGCTAATATTCACACTTTCAACCTCTTATATTTCATAATGCTAACTAAATACTTTAACGCACTCTTCACTTATTGCTAACACACTCTTCATATTTACCCTAACCGCACTCTTCGCCACACTCTTCCTGTACTAACACACTCTTCCTGTTAACACACTCTTCATAACACACTCTTCCTGTGCTAACACACTCTTCCTGTACTAACTCTTCCTGTACTAACACACTAACACTCTTCCTCACCTGCACACACTCTTCCTGTACTAACACACTATAACACACTCTTCCTGTACTAACACACTAACACACTCTTCCTGTACTAACACACTAACACACTCTTCTCTTACCTCTTCCTGTGCTAACACACTCTTCCTGTACTAACACTCTTCCTGCTAACTGTCTTCCTGTGCTAACACCTCTTCATATTACCCCTCTTCCTGCACTAACACCTCTTCCTGCACTAACACACTCTTCCCTTAGCCAATAACACACTTTTCACTAACACACTTTCCTCAGCTAACACCTCTTCCTGTGCCTAACACCTCTTCTGTACTAACACACTCTTCCTGCTAACACACTCTTCCTGTACCCCAACACACTCTTCCTGTTACTAACACATAACCATAATACTTCTTCCTGTACTAACACACTCTTCATATTCTAACACACTCTTCCTGCTAACACACTAACACACTCTTCCTGCACTAACACACCTCTTCCTGCACTAACACACTCTTCCTGCACTACACACTCTTCCTGCACTAACACACTCTTCCTGCACTAACACACTCTTCCTGTACTAACTTACTCTTCCTGCACACACTCTTCCTGCACTAACACACTCTTCCCTGCTACTCTTCCTGCTAACACACTCTTCCTGCACTAACTAACACACTCTTCCTGCTAACACCTAACACACTCTTCCTGCACTAACACACTCTTCCTGCTAACTAACACACTCTTCCTCTTTACCCCCTCTTCCTGCACTACACACTCTTCCTGTGCTAACACCTCTTCCCTGCACTCTTCCTAACACACTCTTCCTGTACTTCTAACACACTCTTCCTGTAACACACCTTCTTCTAACACACTTATCTTCCCCTGCACTAACACACTCTTCCTGTACTAACACCTCTTCCTCACTAACACCTCTTCCTGCACTAACACACTCTTCCTGCAACACACTCTTCACCAACCCCTTAACACACTCTTCCCTGCACCCTAAACACTCTTCCTGCACTCTTCCTGCACTAACACACTACTAACACACTCTTCCTGCACCTAACACACTCTTCCTGCTAACTCTTCACTGCACTAACACTCTTCTAACACATATTCCCTGCACTAACACATATTTCCTCTAACACCTCTTCCTGTTACTAACACACTCTTCAACACTTCACTCTTCTTTCTTCCTGCATCATTGTACTAACTCTTCCTGCACTAACTTACCTCTTCCTGCACTAACACACTCTTCCCTGCCTTCTCTTCCTGCACTAACCTCTTCCTGCACCTCTTCCTGCACTAACACCTCTTCCTGCACTATACCTCTTCCTGTACACTCTTCCTCTTCCTGCACTAACACCTCTTCCTGCTAACTAACACTCTTCCTCTTTTCACACTCTTCCTAACACCTCTTCCCCTGCCTCTTACCTCTTCAACACACACTCTTCCTGTACTAACACACTCTTCCTGTGCTAACTAACTTGCTCTTCTCTTCTTACACTCTTCCTGTACTAACTCTTCCTGCACCTAACACACTCTTCCCTGCACCAACACACTCTTCCTGCACTAACACACTCTTCCTGCTAACACACTAACACACTCTTCCTGCCTAACACACTCTTCCTGTACTAACCTCTTCCTGTAACACACTCTTCTAACACTAACACACTCTTCCTGTACTAACACACTCTTCCTGCTAACTAACACACTCTTCCTGCTAACACCTAACACACTCTTCCTGTACTAACACACTCTTCCTGTGCCTAACACACACTCTTCCTGTGTACTAACACACTCTTCCTGTACCTAACACACTCTTCCTGCACTAACACACTCTTCCTATTACTAACACCTTTCTTCCTGCATATCTTCACGCTATACACACTCTTCCTCAACACACTCTTTATATTACTTAGCTTACACTCTTCACTAACACTAACACACTCTTCCTGTACTAACACACTCTTCCTGCACTAACACACTCTTCCTGCACTAACACACTCATACCATATTGCTAACCCTCTTCCTGTGCTAACACACTTCATATTACTTAATCCACACTCTTCCTGTAACACACTCTTCCTGTACTAACACACTCTTCCTGTACTAACACTTTCTTCATATTGCTTAACCTGTACTACACTCTTCCTGTGCCTAACACACTCTTCCTGCTACTAACACACTCTTCCTGTACTAACTTACACTCTTCCTGTGCTAACACACTCTTCCTGTACAACACACTCTTCCTGCACTAAGCACTCTTCCATATTGCTAACACACTCTTCCTGTACTAACACTACACTCTTCACTGTACTAACACCGCTCTTCTGTACTAACACACTCTTCCCTGTGCTAACACACTCTTCATAACACTACTCTTCTGCACTAACACACTCTTCACCACACTCTTCATGTGCTAACACACTCTTCCTGTACTAACCTCTTCCCTTACACTCTTCCTGTACTAACAACACACTCTTCCTGTGCTAACACACTCTTCCTGTGCTAACACTCTTCCTGCTTACTCACACTCTTCCTGTACTAACACACTCTTCCTGCAACTAACACTCTTCCTTGCTACTCTCTTCCTGTGCTAACACACTCTTCCTGCTAACACACTCTTCCTATAACACACTCTTCCTGTGCTAACACACACACTCTTCCTGCACTAACACACTCTTCCTGCACTAACACCTCTTCTGCCTAACACACTCTTCCTGTACTAACACTCTTTATTACTAACACACTCTTCCTGTCTCACACTACCTCCCCACCCTGCCTAACACACTCTTCCTGTACTAACACACTCTTCCTGTATCAACACACTCTTCCTGCACCCACCCCACCTCTTCCTGCACTAACACACACTCTTCCTGCACTAACACACTCTTCCTGCACTAACACACTCTTCCTGTACTACCACACTCTTCCTGTACTCCACACACCTCTTCCTGTACTAACACACTCTTCTGTACTAACACACTCTTCCTGTACTAACACACTCTTCCTTATCACTAACACACTCTTCTGCCTAACACACTCTTCCTGCACAACACACTCTTCACCACCCTCTTATATTTCATATTACTAACACACACTCTTCCTGCCTCACCACACTTTTGCACAACACACACTGCCACTCACTACTATCACCACCCTGTCTCACACTACATCACCACCCTGCTCACATTACATCTGCCCTGCCTCACTACATCCCTACCCTGCCTCACACTACATCACCACCCTGCCTCACACCACACTATCACCACCCTGCCTCACACTACATCCTGCCTCACACTACATCACCACCACCACCTGCCTCACCCTACATCAACACCCTGCCTCCTCCTACACCACCACCTGCTTCACACTACATCACCACCCTGCCTCCTACATCATCCACTACATCACCACCTGCCTCCACACTACATCACCACCCTGCCTCACACTACTACATCATCGCCCTGCCTCACTACATCACCACCCATCACCACCCCACCTGCCTCACCTTTCACATCCACCCTTACCTGCTGCACTACATCACCACCCATAACCTCATGTACTATACATCATCGGCCCTGCTCACATCGCCACCCTGCCTCTTTTCACATCCTGCCCTGCACATCCACACTCACACTCACCACCCCTGCCTCCTCCCACCACCACCCCTGCCTCACTCACATCACCACCCTGCCTCACACTACACCACCCCTGCCTCACTACATCCACCACCCTGCCTCACACACACCTTTCATCCCACCCTGCCTCACTCACTGTCCTCACACTACATCATTGCCCTGCCTCACACTACATCACCACCCTGCCTCCTACATCACCACCCTGCCTCTGCATCACCACCTACCTCACACTACCTCACACATGTGCCTTACTGGTACATCACCCACCTGCACTTACTACCACCACCCTGCCTCACACTACATCACCACCCTGCCTCACACCACCTTGCCTCACCCTACAGTAGGTCAATTATAGTTTTCCCTTAAAGCTCGCAGTTTTAAAACTTGTGTCCTTTGGAAATTACAACTTACGGATTGCCATGGAAAATAAATAAAATATATCTTATGGTGTGGCAGGGATCAAAAGGAGTCAACACTATAGGACACTACAGAGCACTATATTTCCCAGGTCATAAGATGCACCATATGATTAGCAAGGTGTATTTTGGAGAAAAAAAAAATTGCAGATTAATTGCCTACTGTACTGGGAAAAACAAGTCACAAGCTATATGCTATTATGTTTCTCACTACCACAGCTCACTATCACTTATGGACCTACTATCAAACATTTGTTGGTATTATTAATAAAATATACCTAATTTAATACAAAATCATTTAATTATAAGTGTAGGTACCTACAATATAATCATTACAAATACTTATTGGTACCGGGCATGTTCACTAGGAACTGTCCAATACAGGGATTGTTTACATCCTGTGCACCAGATCAGCTGATGTTTCAGAGGTATTGTCTTTGCATTGTCACTACCACAACTAATTAACACTGTGTGGACCTAATGTCTACACAGTGTTATTTCATGTTTATGTTTACAGTATTTAAAATTTCACATTTATTATATTGTCTTATGCATACATAATGTTGTTATACATGTGTATATAGCTATTTATATACATATTTTACACACTGCTGGGACTGACATGAAAATCTTGTGGATTTTATATACAGTCTCTCCCCGACTTATGACGGGGTTAGGGATCCAAATCCAGGTCGTAAGTCGAAAATGCAAAAATAATACAGGTTGTACCTCTCTAGTCCGGCATTCTTTGGTCCGGAAACTCCTGTGGTCCAGAACGATTTTAGTTTGCCCAATAGGTAGATAGGCAGCTATTTTTATTTTTATTTTATTTTTTTACCTATCTGAATTATTATTATTATTATTATTGCAGGAATACAGTTAACCCTCACTTTACGCGGTTAATGTAACCCGGAGGGTACCGCGGAAAGCGAGAAACGCGTAAAGTGAATAACATAACATATGGGATTAATTGAAATGGAGTCCAGGCCGATCCCCAAACTCCACTTTTTGACGACACATAACTATGTTGTAGTAAAAATAACATCTTAATTTTATGATGGTACATGCACACAATTAATACTTTAGAGAAATACAGTCGCCAAGTTAATGTCCATTCAAATAATGGACATGACTCCCTCCCCCTCTCACACTACACTGCCGGCTCTTCCCTCTCTGAGAAATTTTGGGGGGAAAACCAGGTATAGTAATAAATAATACCTCAAACTAAAGTTAGGATAATATAATTGACATTGCTGGACTCCTTGTAAGACCAGGAATATTTTGAATATAAATGTCATATATTTTTCACAAAAGATAACATACTTACTCAGATTAAACATTTTATCTAAATATTTTATGTCTAATGCAAAATATATGATGTTTATATTCAAAATGATCACCAAATTGTAAGAATTCCAGCAATGTAAATTATATTCTGGTCGGGTAATTTGTATGAATTTTATGAGCTAAAACAAATATCTTCAGTTAATAAAAAAAAAAAAATATTCTTCACGACACTATCTGTCAATCAAAGTACCCCACCTTGCCTCCCCCCCTCTCTTCCAACCGCGCGGTCAGTCCCAACCCTCCCCCCCACCCCCCACCAATCCTCCCTTCAAGAGATGTTGGGTGAAAAATTTAGATTTTAACATTTTGTATTAAATAATACCTCAGATTAAAGTTAGGATAATATAATTGACATTGCTGGATTCCTTGTAAGACCAGGAATATTTTGAATATAAACGTCATATATTTTGCACAAAAGATAACATACTTACTCAGATTAAACATTTTATCTAAAAATTTTATGTCTAATGCAAAATATATGATGTTTATATTCAAAATGATCACCAAATTGTAAGAATTCCAGCAATGTAAATTATATTCTGGCCGGGTAATTTGTATGAATTTTATGAGCTAAAATAAAAATCTTCAGTTAATAAAAAAAAAATTCTTCACACGGTAACAGATGGTCGGTCGCCGGTCCCTCCCTCCCTCCCCCCCACCCCCCACCAACGTCCCTACTAGATAAATGTGTGGGAATACCAGACTGTTTACCTTTTTAGTAATAAATAATAAATCAGACTAAAGTTAGGATAATATAATTGACATTGCTGGATTCCTTGTAAGACCAGGAATATTTTGAATATAAATATCATATATTTTGCACAAAAGATAACATATTTACTCAAGAGTAAACATTATATCTAAAATTTGTATGTCTAATGCAAAATCTATGATGTTTATATTCAAAATGATCATCAAATTGTAAGAATTCCAGCAATGTAAATTATATTCTGGCCGGATAATTTGTATGAATTTTATGAGCTAAATTAAAAAAAATTATACTTCACCGTGTAAAGGGGTACACCCACCGCGGAATGTGAGCATCCTGGGTTCTGGCAGGGCACCGCGTAAACGTGGAAACGCGGAATGTGGGACCGCGTAAAGTGAGGGTTGACTGTATTACATTTTCGCCCCTCAGGCTCCAATGTGGGTCAGTGACCTGTGCCCGGGTGGGCTAATCCCCGTAAAAAAAAAAACAACAAAGCCGCAGGAAATTAAGGTTTGTTTGTATCCGGCAGTTCGACTCTCTTTCTCTGTTTGTCTTTACAGTACAGAGTACAACATTTAACCCTTCAATATATATGAACACTAAATAAGTGTTGCTTTCATATTCTTCTGTAGAGTAATGATGATATGTTTTTTACATGTGCTCACTTACATACGCGCAGTCTCACTTTTTTCTTTAACATTAATGGTTTGCTACTTTTATTGTTCTATTTATTAACATTAAATAACATTACTTAAAACAACCATATTAATTTTTTACATTCATTTTACTACAGCTACAACCAGGGTCTTACTTTCTTGTTTTATATGTAGAACCAATCAGTCACTGGTTTTGTAATCAATGAAAACAATGCTGTGTCATTTCCTCCTGTGTTTTAATATTCTACATATTATTAATGAATTGTATTGCTCATTTTGCACACCAACATTAATTCAATAAAAAAGACATTCAGTAATAAACAATAATGAATCTTTTGTACATAAGAGAAATGATGCTGTTTACACGATTGTGCACTTCGTCTGAACGTTGGCGGACCGTTCAAACCCGTCGAAATTTTAAATTATGTAGTGTTTTTTGTGTGTCCCAATAAAAAACTTTGAATTAAAAACTCGCGAAATTTGAGAAGCTACTGTACGACATTTAACTCTTCAATATGTCTTGAAAGAGACAACGAAGCAGTGAAAGTGGTGCTAACGTAAGCGCAAGTCACTATCTGTCCAGGAAAAGGGTGAATTTCCATGGTCCGGAAATTTCCATGGTCCGGCACCGGTCAGGTCCCGAGATTGCCGGACTAGAGAGGTACAACCTGTACATAGAAAATCTAAAATGGGTGTTTCTTTTCTTCTCAGTACCACAAAACTCTCACTTCTTAGCTTGCCAGCCATTTTAAAGGGAATTACAAACAAAAATTTTGTCAGTACACAGCGCAATCACTAACGTCGGGACTCGAAAATATGTAATTTGACAAAATTTTGGTACGGCTGAGGCGGTCGTATGTCCGGGTGGTCGTAAGTGGAGTAGGTCATAAGTCGAGAAGTAGCTTTGTGTATGTATATATATATATATATATATATATATATATATATATATATATATATATATATATATATATATATATATATTTATTAATGCATATTTGTTTACAACAGAAGGGGAGGAAGCAAGCCTCATACAGTCAGCCATGTTGGTGTGTGTGGGCAGCCAAGATCCACCTGAGCCAACACCCTCGTTGTCTGTGACGGTGAGCACTTTATTCCTTGTGTTGTGCAGTACAGAGTAGCTCACTAACTGTGTTCCCTGCTGGTCTCATCATCCACCTCTCTCACACACACACACTCACACACACACACACACACACACACACACACACACACACACACACACACGTGTAACCAGTATGATTTACATACTGTATAATTTAGAGTAAGTATTTAATAACTTACAACCATAACCATGGATGTATATTTAAGAACATTCATTATTCAATGAGCTGTAGGTTATAGAGCTGACTCACCGTCCTGGGAACACTAGACTCAGGAACACCAGACTCAGCAGCTGATGCACCATCCTGGGAACACTAGACTCAGGAACACAAGACTCGGCAGCTGACTCACCGTCCTGGGAACACTAGACTCAGGAACACCAGACTCAGCAGCTGATGCACCATCCTGGGAACACTAGACTCAGGAACACCAGACTCAGGAACACCAGACTCAGGAACACCAGACTCAGGAACACCAGACTCAGCAGCTGATGCACCATCCTGGGAACACCAGACTCAGCAGCTGACTCACCATTCTGGGAACACTAGACTCAGGAACACTAGACCCAGGAACACAAGACTCGGCAGCTGACTCACCATCCTGGGAACACTAGTGTCAGGAACACCACACTCAGGAACACTAGACTCGGGAACACCACACTCAGGAACACTAGACTCAGCAGCTGACGCACCATCCTGGGAAGACTAGACTGAGCAGCTGACGCACCATCCTGGGAACACCAGACTCGGGAACACTAGACTCAGCAGCTGACGCACCATCCTGGGAACACCAGATTCAGCAGCTGATGCACCATCCTGGGAACACCAGACTCGGGAACACCAGACTCAGCTGCTGACGCACCATCCTGGGGCACCAGATTCAGCAGCTGATGCACCGCTCCTGGGAACACCAGACTCAGGAACACTAGACTCCCAGCAGCTGGCGCACCATCCTGGGAACACCAGATTCAGCAGCTGATGCACCATCCTGCCAGGAACACCTGACTCAGCAGCTGGCCGCACCATCCTGGGGAACACCTGACTCCAGCAGCTTACGCGCCATCCTGGGAACGCGGGCGCGGCGGCAGCACCATCCTGAACACCTGACTCAGCAGCTTACGCGCCATCCTGGAACACCAGACTCATCAGCTGATGCTCCATTCTGGGAACACTAGACTCAGCGTGGCGCACCATCCTGGGGAGGAACACTAGACTCAGGAACACTAGACTCAGGAACGCTAGACTCAGCAGCTGGCGCGCCATCCTGGGAACACCAGATTCAGCAGCTGACGCACCATCCTAGAGACACTAGACTCGGCAGCTGGCGCACCATTCTGGGAACCTAGACTCAGCAGCTGGCCGCACCATCAGGAACAGACTCGGCAGCTGGCCGGCACCATCCCAGAACACCAGACTCCAGTGGCTGATGCACCATCCTGGGAACACTGCCAGACTCAGTGGCGGCGCACCATCACAGAACACCAGACTCAGCAGCTGGCAGCACCATCACAGGAACACCAGACTCGGTAGCTGACGGCACCATCCTGAGACACCAGACTCAGCAGCTGATGCTGCTGCATCTGGGAACACCAGACTCAGTAGCTGATGCACCATCCTGGGAACACTAGACTCAGTAGCTGGCCTTGCCATCCTGGGAACACCAGACTCAGCAGTGGCCGCACCATCCTGGGAACACCAGACTCAGTAGCTGATGCACCATCCTGGGAACACCAGACTCAGTAGCTGACGCACCATCCTGGGAACACCAGACTCAGTAGCTGATACACCATCCTGGGAACACCAGACTCAGTAGCTGATACACCATCCTGGGAACACCAGACTCAGTAGCTGACGCACCATCCTGGGAACACCAGACTCAGTAGCTGATACACCATCCTGGGAACACCAGACTCAGTAGCTGACGCACCATCCTGGGAACACCAGACTCGGTAGCTGACGCACCATCCTGGGAACACCAGACTCGGCAGCTGACGCCACACTGCCACGCTCACTTGACAATCCCACACCTACATAATAAACAAACACCAAAAATATTACTTATAGTATTAAATCTTTTCCATTGAACTTTCCATGTTCTTCACTTCACACGTCACTAGAAACCCATTTACACTCACCTTACAAGTCGTAAGCTGCAGCAAAGTCGGCTGCTTTCTCGTCACTCACTCAGAAAGACTGAGCGGGCGAGCGTGAATGTGTGAGTGAGCAGCCACGGTGGCGCCTCTGGTGAGCAAATATCGCATTTGTTTGCTATGGCGGTACATTTGAAATATTTCATAACCGATTTCCATTGCAAAATATAAAAAATTATCGCTGTACAGTACAGCTGCTCCCTGACTTACGACGGGGTTAGGGACCCAAATCCAGGTCGTAAGTCGGAAATGCAAAAAAATTATACCTATATAATCTAAAATGAAATACAGTACAGTGGTCCCTCGGTTAACGAACACAATTCGTTCCAGAAGGTTGTTCATTAACCAAAAATTTTGTTAACCGAAACCTTTGTTTCAATGGGATTTTGGGTAATTGGGTCCAGCTCACCGAAAATTACATACAAAGTTAAAAAAAATGCAATAAAGTAGACTTACTTTGAGGTGTGTATTTAGAAGGCTCCTGGTTGATGATGATGATGGAAATTAGAAGTGGGGGTGGAGGAGAAGGGAGAAGAGAAGGAATTGGTGTGGAAGAGAAATCATCCCATACCCCATGGTGCCATTTCACCCATAAAATTTTAAGTTCACTTGGTGTAATTCAAGATTATATTCTTTAAATCAACACTGCACTGGACTATATATTGTCAATATGTAAAATAAATTTCAGAATGACCAATAATTGTGCTGTAAAAATGTAAAAATACTCTGTGTTCAAGAGACCCACAAGCAAGATGTTTCCTCCACTGAACAGAGATACAAACTGAGGCCTTGGTGGGTGAGTCAAGCGGCTGATGGGCACACCAAAAACTTGTTCCCTGCACAGGTTGTACCTCTCTACTCCGGCTACCTCGGGACCTGACCGGTGCCGGACCATGGAAATTCACCCTTTTCCTGGATAGATAGTGACTTGTGCTTTTGCTTGGAAGCACTAGCACCACTTTCTCTGCATCATGGTCTCATTGAAGACATATTGAAGGGTTAAATGTCGTATAGTAGCTTCTCAAATTTTGCGAGTTTTTAATTCAACGTATTTTATTGGAACACACACACAAAAACAAATAAATAAAAATTTTGACGGCGGAAACTTGAATTTCGACGGGTTTGAACGGCCCGCCAACGTGCAGACGACGTGCATAATCGTGTAAGCAGCGTCATTTCTCTTATGTACAAAGGATTCATTATTGCTTATTACTGAATGTCTTTTTTATTGAATTAATGTTTATGTGTGCAAAATGAGCAATACAATTCATTAATAATACGTAGAATATTAAAACACACGAGGAAATGAGACAGCTTTGTTTTCGTTGATTACAAAACCAGTGACTGACTGGTTCTACATATAAAACTGAAGGAAATAAGACCTTGGTTGTAGCTGTAGTAAAATTTATATGGTTGTTTTAAGTAATGTTATTTAATGTTAATAAATGGAACAATAGAAGTAGCTGACGATAATGGTAAAGAAAAAGAGAGATCGCGTATGTAAGTGCGCACACGTGAAAACATATCTTCATAAAAATATGAAAGCAACACTTATTTACTGTTCATATATATTTTAATTAATGTTTCTGAATTTGTTTTTATTGAATTAATGTGTGTGTGTGTGCAAAATTAACAATACAATTTATTAATAATACGTGGAATATTAGAGGAGACGAGACGGCTGCCGGCATTGTTTATGTTAAAGCTTACAAAACCATTGACTGATTGGTTCTACATATAAAACTGAAGAAAATAAGACCCTCATTGTAGCTGTAGTAAAATTAATGTAAAAAAATTAATATGGTTGTTTGAAGTCCCTGTAATGTTATTTAATGCTAACCATTAATGGTAAAAAAAACAGTGAGACTGCACGTATGTAAGTGCGCACATGTGAAAACATATCGTCATTACTCTAAGTGCGCACATGTGAAAACATATCGTCATTACTCTACATAAGAATATGAAAGCACACTTATTTACTGCTCATATATATTGAAGGGTTAAATGTTGTACTCTGTATAGACAAGCAGAGAGAGAGAGCAGCCGAACTGCCGGATGTAAACAAACCTTAATTTCCTGCGGCTTTGTTGTTGTTGTTTTTTACGGGGATTAGCCCACCTGGGCAGAGGTCACTAACCCACATTGGGGCCTGGGGGCAAAAATTTAATACTCCTGTAATAATAATAATAATTCAGATAAGTAAAAAAAAAAAAAAACTACCTATTGGACAAACTAAAATCGTTCTGGACCACGAGAGTTTCCGGACCACAGAATGCTGGACTAGAGAGGTACAACCTGTACTGCAATTATGTTAAATATGTGTTAAAATGACTAAAAAATTTAATATTAAACTTGGAAATTATTGAATAGTACAACCTTCTTGATATTTACTCCAATTTTAACAAATGTAAGCCCTAGAACCGATTACTGTATTGGCGGACTAATCTTCCAGCTGGTGAGCAAGCCAAAGCACGTCAAAACATTTTCGTAAGAATTTCGTTAACCGAATTTTTGTTCGTTAACTGAATTGAATTATTCTAATGGAAGGTAATTCATAAACCGAAATTTCGTTAACCGAGGGACCACTGTACTGTAAAAATAGTCAATAATGAAGAATGGATACAATGTGACTGAGCACTTACCTTTAATGTAGTCAGCTGAATGCACATGGGGCCCCATAATTTTTCTATTTACAGGTATACATGGAGACTATATTAATTGGGTAAAGCAGAGGAGGAGACAGGGCTGGGTGGGTCATCAATGTCGCTTTCTTCAGACAGGTTTATGTACAGGGGAAACTAGCTGGTTGAAGGTATTGGATCATCTTGA